TACAAGCTCATCAGGGAAGATCAACAGCAAATAGGCAGAGCCCTTTTCTCCCCAGCACCACCTGGGGTGACGAGGAACAATGGTAATAAGCTGATGGAGAATAGATTTAGGTTAGAGATCAGAAGGCAATATTTTACAGTTAGGGTGGCTAAAATCTGGAACCAGCTTCCCAGGGAAGTGGTCCTCGGCCCTACCTTGGGCAAATTCAAGAGGAGGTTGGACGATCACCTGTCTGGGGTCTTGTGAACCCAGCATTCATTCCTGCCTGTGGCAGGAGGGCAGGCTAGATGATTTGTTCAGGTCCCTCCTGACCCTAGCTACTATAAAACTATGAGATCTACCCAGGCCCTGGTACTCTCTACAGCTAAATACTACACTCCCGTCTGATGCAAAAGCCCGTGCACCCATCACATCAAGACACAGGTGAATGCCACCATGCGAGTAGTAAGCGGTGCTTATTGCTCTCTCCACAGTGAGAATGGATTCAGCTTTATTTTAAAAGTATGAAAAGATCATGACTGACCATGAACTCTTATTGTAGAAGATATCACTCATCCACCAAGATATAAGCTTAAGTCAAGAAAACCTCTCTGGCTGGCTCCAACTTTTATCGAACAGTCTGGATACTGAGAGCCCCTGGCATAAAATCTGGTCTACAGCAACAGTGTGTAATAAAAATTTGGTCATAGATCTATCCATTGAGCTTCCATGTTTCAACCTGCATTGTAAACATTGGACCACACTAAACCACATTCATACGGGACATGGAAAATATGCCTATTTATTGAACAAATGGGGCATCAAGGACTCGCTGAACTGCATATACGGTGAGGTGCAGTCAATGAACCACACTGTAAACTCCTGCCCTGAACTTGCATATGGCACTGCAAGCTTTCGGGATCAAAGTCCCTTCATCAGGCTCTGGGAAAAGTGTTGGTCTGAGAACCAAGAGTTCTAGTTTTTTGTATGTCTTTTTGTCTCAGACCAACATGGCTACCAAGTACATCTCTGAAACATGGAAGATGCCGAATTTTAGCCGATTTTGGATTTTAAACTTCACTGCAGAACAACAAGGATGTTTTTTTACCTCCCTGCCTGCCATCTGACACCTCCAGGGAAGTAATTCTACGTGATCAACACATCAAGGAGCTACTCAACACAACTCACAAAGACACTCTCATGGACCCAGAGGGACAGCCTTCCATCTTCAGCTCCCTCTGTGCAAAAATGAAGTTTATTTCCTACCTATGGGGACTTTTTACCATCTTGTACCATCTACACTTTTCCCAGAGCCTGACAAAGGGACTTTAATCCTGAAAGCTTGCAGAAAGCAACATTTTTCTTGCTATTTTCCAGTTGGTCTAATAAAAGGTATCATTTTGGAACCAAGAGTTCTAGTTTTTTGTGTGTCTTTTTGTCGCAGACCAACACGGCTACCAAGAACACCCTTGAGGCAAAAGAGCACGTTTGCGTCTATGTAATGTGGAATTCAAGCACAATATTTTAGAAACCCATAGAACTAAAAAAAAATGTCATTATTCCTATCCCCTTCCACAGAACCAAACTTTTTAAAGAAATAAACAATGATGACATATTAGAGGGAGATATTATTTTGAACACCCTATAAACTAGGCCTACAACCATGAGTGGCATTTTAAACAATATGGGTATGTCTATACTGCAGATATCAGCACAGTGTAGAGATACCAGAGGGAGCTAGTCTGATTACCAGAAGTCTCCTGCAGCAGCATGGCACTTAGAATAAGCTAAATTACAGCTTATTTGGGTATCTGTTAGGGCTGTGTGAAGCTTCAGTAGCTGATTTGATTTGGAGATTTGGCCCGATTCAGCAGCTGAATATCTGAATCGAACTGGGAGACCCATTAATCTCTCTGAATCAAATCGGAAGCCTCCAAACTGATTCAGAGAGATTTGGAGAGTTTTGCTGGAGATTCGGCCATAGACTGTACAGGCAACCACTGCAGTGCCAGAGGGAACAGGCTGGGGAGCAGCCGGACAAGCCTTGGATTGAGCTGGGAGCCCCAGGAGAAGCCATGGCTCATCCGGCTGCTCCCCCAGCTGCCCCCCCCCCACCAGAGTGAGGCAGGCAGTGCTGCCAGCCCTGGGAGAAGCCACAGGGGCTGGGGGATTGAACCTGGAACTGCAAGGGAAGCCCCTGTTTGTTCCCCTAGCTCCCAGATCACTTCCTCCAGTCCCTGCAGCTTCTCCCGAGGCTGCCGGCTCAAGCCACGACTCGTTCAGCTGTCCCCCCCACCGGGGCAAGGCTGGCATTGCTGGCAGCCCTAGGAGAAGCTGTGGGGGCTGGGGAAAATGATCAGGGGGCTGGGGGATTGAACTGGGAACTGGGGAATGAAACCGGGACCTGGGAGCAATGATCAGGAGCTGGGAGGAATGATCGGGGACTGTGGCAACAAACAGGGGCTTCCCCCACAGCTCCTAATTTGATTCTCCAGCTCACAGTTCAATCCCCCAGCTCCCCAATCATTCCCCCCAGCCCCCACAATTTCTGCCAGCACTGCCTGCCTCACCCCAGAGGGGGGGCAGCCAGGAGAGCAGCCGGATGAGTCGCAACTTCTTCCAGGGCTGACAGCTGAAGTGGGGGCTCGGTCAGCTGCTCCTCCAGCTGCTCCCGCCAGTACTGCTTGCCTGTATAATCTATTACCAAATGAGATTCAGCACCAAATACCTTTGGATTCAGATTCAGCTGAATTGAATTGGGACAGTGATTCAAATCACAGAATCAAATCGCTGTTCCTCTGAATCACCAAATCTGAATCCGAAGTGAATACTTTCTGCTTCGCACAAGCCTAGTATCTCTATGCTATAATACAGTCCTGTTCTGGGTAGGTTTGTAGCAGTGGTGCTCAACCTATCTGACCATGTAGGTCAGAAGTGGAATGCGGCCAATTCCTGAACCAGATCCAGCATGGGATCAGTCCCAGGGTACAATCAAGTGTGCCATATGTAGCTTTAGAGTGACCCTGTGCACTGGTGTGATCTAGCATGTAGGGCCATGTCATCCAGCCCACAGAGCTCTC